ATATATATATATAGTAAGAATTTATATTTTTTCATATTTATTAAACATTTCAAATAAATAAGTACATTTTCTGGAAAAACATACAGCATAAACCAGGAGCAGATAAATTTAATATTACTTTATTAAAATATTCACAATATCTGTCATGAACAATAACATTAAATGTACCAACAGCAGAAGCCAATCAGGCTTAGGAAATGCATACATTTGTAGGTTCCAGCAGCTGCATTTTTTCCCACTTAAAGAAAAGTCCAAATTAAGTTTCCCACTCTAAATGTTCAATCATTTCCACAGACCTGTAACTCGACTTCTACCCATCTTTTCAGTGTCAGACTAAATAAATGGACTAAATCAATTTCAGCTGTTCTGCTTCACGACAGCGTGGACGCGTACCTGGGCTGCAGACAATTGTCATGGGTCATTGGAGGATGTGTGTGAAAACACTAGGAACATCAGCAGGTATGTGGCTTACAGCTTAATTACTTTTGCAACATTTAGGACACAAACTAAACTTTGGATATTAAAATATTCAGACAAAAACAATGGTATGATCCACACATAATACACTACTATATATTTTAAGCTACAAATCATGCTTTCATTTGCCTTCCACTGTGTTTTCTAATAATCAACCGTCACACCAAAAGAACGGCAAATGTGGGTCATCTCAGGTGCCAACCAAACACACATTTGCTTTGCAAAGTTAATGCATAAGGTTGATGGAACTTTGACTGCATGGTCATGATGCAAAATATGTAGAATCCATATTGAACTGTCAAAAACTCAGTCTGGAATCAGGATCAACTAGAGGCAATCTTTAGAATGCTATAACATTCATAAACTCAAGACAAGAAAGGGCAAGACAAAACCTGCTGGCAGACCAGTCAGCATTCATAGATTTCACTTCAGCTGAAGTCTATTATTTGTCTAATAATCTCTTACCTGCCTTACACACTGAGCACTATGATGAGTATAAATGCGTAAGCTGATTATAAACAAAAGCAGATTGGTGAGTAAAATCGGATCAGTGTAAGAGTTTGATCAAATGTACTAAATACCCTGCTTAGTGCTGACTTACTGTATCTCTTCATTCAATCTGTGCCAATAACATTGCTACAGTTTGTTTTCTATAGTTTGTTATATAAAGGGACAGTTCACCCAAAAATAAACACTCATAATTTACTCGCCCTCATGTTGTTATACATTTTGAAGAATATCTTTTTTGAGCAATGACCATGAATTTTGCATAAAGATGTCAAGCCTCAACCAGAATGCATTAAGTATAAAAGGTGCCCTCAGGACTCATGCACTATATTCCACGTCTTCTGGAATCAGATGATAAAAATTATATGAGGGACAGAACGAAATTTAAATCATGATTCATTGAAAATCTTAAGTAGTAAGATTTTCTTTCTTAAGAGAAGTAGCAATGTACAATTCGTGAACAAACGATTCACTGAGACTGAGAATATTCTGAAAACACCTTTAAAGGGGTCATATGACGTTGCTAAAAATAACATTATTTTTGTATTTGGTGTAATGCAATGCGTTTATGCGATTTAAGGTAAAAAAAAGCACTACTCAACCAGAATGCATTAAGTATAAAAGGTGCCCTCAGGACTCATGCACTATATTCCACGTCTTCTGGAATCAGATGATAAAAATTATATGAGGGACAGAACGAAATTTAAATCATGATTCATTGAAAATCTTAAGTAGTAAGATTTTCTTTCTTAAGAGAAGTAGCAATGTACAATTCGTGAACAAACGATTCACTGAGACTGAGAATATTCTGAAAACACCTTTAAAGGGGTCATATGACGTTGCTAAAAATAACATTATTTTTGTATTTGGTGTAATGCAATGTGTTTATGCGATTTAAGCACTATTTTCCACATACTGTACATTATTGTTGCTCCTCTACGCCCCCCCTTTCTGAAACGTGTCGATTTTTACTTAACCACTGATTTGTAGTTTTGCCCTCTTTTGGAAGGCCAAACAAAGTAGTTTCGCTTTCACAACGAAACACACAGTGTCTCCACGACATGGCGACGGCGGTGGCAACAATACAGCGAGAATCAAAGTTACGCCTTCTTTCTTTGCGTATACATTTGGGCGGTGTAGCGATATGCCGGTTTAAAATTTTCATGTTGCGATTAATTGCTAATGCTTTTATCACGGTATGCGGTAGATTAATGAATGTTCAGAAGAATTTTTCATTGGCAGTTTAATGTTAACTAATAAATTAACTAATGTTAACTAATGAAGCCCTAATGTAAAGTGTGACCGAACAATAAAGAATCAAAACACTTTCAAACAATATCTAGGGCATGTTGTAGTCCAGATTAAAATATAGCCTATTAAGTCTAAATATTTAAGTATTTGGCGCTATGATGAACACCATAGCAAATACACAAATCTGAATGGCTGTTTAAATCATTTAAACACCTTTCAGAAACAGAAAGTAGTGCAGCTGCTTTGTTTACAGGGTTTCCGGGGTAACAGTGCATGTAAATAAAAAATTATTATTATTATTTCTGCAGTTTAGCGCCATCTGCTGTCAGAGAATGAAAGTGAGCTTTCATTCAGAGCGTCTCTCACGCTTTGTTACTTTATGTTCCGCAATGCGCTTCTCGTCCGCGCTTGTTTACGTCAAAGTGCGCACGCATCTTTCACGCAGCGTCATATGACCCCCTTTAAATCAAAATCCATTGTTTTGATTGTCAATCACAATGCTTCATGGGAATGTAGTTCCTTCCCTCATTAAAGCCGTTCAGTACACAGTCTTGTGCTTTTGTCTAATTTTTAAATATGTTTTTGCTTCAAATCAGTGTTTGTAATATTGTGATTTACCACGTAGCTACTTGGTTTGGTTGATGGTACACAACTCTTTAACAATGACTTTAAAAAACCCCTATGAGAAAAAAAATAATGAGAAAAACACTTTCAGAACCAAGGACACTGAAAAAGTGCACTCTTGCACTCTATTATGGTTTAATGGAGGTGAAGATTATAAGTAAAAAATCAGTCTATACACCACACAAACCTATCATACAGCTTCAGAAGACATGAATAATACTGCATGAATAGTCTGGACTTCATTAGTAATTCTGCATCCATTTGAGGTTTGTCATCTTCACTTACTATTCATTGTCACTGCACAGCAACAGCATTCTTCAAAATCTCTCTTTTGTTGTGCTTCGCTGAAGAAACATAAGGAGTCAAACAAGTCTGGAATGATATGAGGGGGACTACAGAATGACATTTTCATTTGTGAGTGAACTATTACGTCAAATAAGTTGATCGTGTAATGCAAATTCGGTCGTCTTTTAGCACTCACTCTCATTCATACCGTCTTGTGTTGTGAAGACAACAGCAGCAGACTGTCTCAAACCCTAATGAGCTGCCTACCTAAACAGCATTTCTGTACATCATAAGCGCGTTCCAATCGATTCTATTAAGAGTCGAACGTGCATGATATCCAAAAAAGGCTTTCTAGGGTAGACAGGCAGCTCTCTGATGTTTGAGACACAACCGCAGTCTTACCCAGCTTTGCCCGAGACTCTTCCAGCTTCTGAATCTGGTTCTCAATAAACAGCATCGCCACTCCAAACGCCATAACAGCCAGCAGCTGGAACTTGGGTGGCATCATGATCCTCAGGAGCCCCATCAAAGTATCGGATGATTATCTACATGTCATGCCGTAAAATGTGAATGAGAAATTTGGATCAATCCGTTACTGGAGCAGTTAATATCGACTCCCGACAGATGATCTCGATTATGCGCAGAGAACAGAGTAAAGTTAAGGATGTAGTAACCGAATACATTAGTGCAAGCAAGGGCATTTCAGACGCTCATCTGTTTGCAGATGGTGGTATTCTGTTAAAACTCAAGACGCTTGACTCTTGGTCTTAGTTGTTGCACATCAGTGCAGCTCCGATCGTCCACTGCTCTCCTGCGTCACTCAACACAGGATTGTATTCCTCCGCGGACTGAAACGAGGCGAGTGGAACAGAACGGTGCTTATAGCGCCATCTATCGGGTTGGAGATTGACATGAGCCAAGTCGTTCCCATTGCTTGGCTCAGTGAAAGACTTGGCTAAGGAATATTACCGTTTTTTTTCTGAATTGCTGAAACACATTTCTTGAAACCATCACTCATTTTCTCAAAACCTTAAACACAAATCCAAATACTCAAACTCGGCCAGTATGTCTCAGACAGACCGACCAGTAGACACAAAGAAGACGTTTGTCACAGCTTCTTTATTGCCAGACTTTCCAATGGTGCAAAGAGATGAATATAGATTCTTTTTTTTCATGTGGCTTCTTTTAGGGGTAAATGATCAGTCTCTGTTGAAAGAAGCAAATTTTTGAGCATTACTCATTTACTGTGTGAAACTATGAAAAGCATGCAGCTCTTTGAACCTCTCTTAATCCACCACACCCCACTGTTTCCAAAAAAAATCAATACCGCTTTCTTTAGTGCTTAGAGCTGATAAGAACAGCTTCTGAATTACTTAAAATGAATCTAAATACATTTTGGTATTTTATATTTAATTTCATTTTCACACAACGAAAGACAAAAATTAAATTCTCAATAATAAAAAAAACACTCCATCCCACTCAGTTTGATATGGCTTAATTTTAGCTATGTCAGGCTTGTATTACATTTTTCTTTTTCATAAAATATGCTTAGTAGTCCAAAGAAGGTTCAAAGCTTTTCCAGTCTTTTAATAACCTTTTTTAAACGTTCTTTTTTCCTGCTTACAGTTTAACTGAAAAGCAGAGGCTCTTGGTCTTCACGACAGCAGAGCAGACAAAATGCTGTTTTATTTGTTGCTCTTTAAGTCAGTGATTTATTTGAATAATCAAGCAATTATTGAACATACATTTAAATACGTTTTTTATGTTCCAATTAATGTCTTTGAAAGTGTGTTGTATTCTTATAAAAAGTTAATTCAATAATTTGGCTTTTTTCATTTTGTGTTAATATAAAAAATTTCAAGTTTTGTGCATCTTAGTGTTATCTTAGTACAATATATATATTTTTCTTTTTATAAGAATAATATAACTAATAAACTAATATATAAACAAATGTAAACTGTTAATTATGCAGACACTTCAGGCTGGTATTGCATAGAGGAAACTGCATATGTACATGTTCATTGCTGAGGCACTTTTAGCTAAGTTGCCTTCACTGTAAAAAATTACCGTGAATTTAACTGTAAAAGACTGTAAAAATGCTACAGTAAAAACCTGTTAAATGGTTAACGGTAAATTCCCCTACCATATACGGTGAAAAACTGTATTGGACATTACATGTATTGGACATCAATTTTTTTTTACCGTAAATTTTACGGAATTTTTTTACAGTGTTCTTATATTTCAAATCTCCTAATTTTTATACAAATAGTTGCTGTACTAGATCTCTATCATACATTTGGTTAAAAGTTCCAATGGTGTGTAAACTGTTAATTATGCAGACACTTCAGGCTGGTATTGCATAGAGGAAACTGCATATGTACATGTTCATTGCTGAGGCACTTTTAGCTAAGTTGCCTTCACTGTAAAAAATTACCGTGAATTTAACGGTAAAAGACTGTAAAAATGCTACAGTAAAAACCTGTTAAATGGTTAACGGTAAATTCCCCTACCATATACGGTGAAAAACTGTATTGGACATTACATGTATTGGACATCAATTTTTTTTACCGTAAATTTTACGGAATTTTTTTACAGTGTTCTTATATTTCAAATCTCCTAATTTTTATACAAATAGTTGCTGTACTAGATCTCTATCATACATTTGGTTAAAAGTTCCAATGGTTTGCTCAGAATTTGGAAAATGTGCCTTTTCTTTTTATGCCCCCTGATCTGCAAACTGTATTTAAAGTAGAGATATACTGCCATCCCTGAGGACTTTTAAATGTCTTTTGCAAAGTGTTTTAAAGGAGTCTAAAAGGAGTGTTTTTCTTGATTTTACTTTAATTGTTTTGTATGTGTACAGATTTATATATATATATTTCTGTGAAACTCTGTGTGCTGCCGTCTTGACCATGTCTACCTGGAAGAAGAGATTGTGATGTTTCAGTGGGATTCTCCTGGCTAAATAAAGGATAAATAAAATTTAGCACAGTCTAAACTGGTTGATAAAAACAGCACAGAACAAAAACAAGGTTTTCTTTGGTAACATTTCTATCAACCTACACTCTTAAAAATAAAGGTGCTTCAAAAGGTTCTTCAAGCGATGCCATAGTAGAACCATTTTTGGTTCCACAAAGAACCATTCAGTCAAAGGTTCTTTAAAGAACCATCTCTTTCTTACCTTTTTATAATCTGAAGAACCTTCTTTTGCCACAAAGAACCTTTTGTCAAACAGAAAGGTTCTTCAGATGTTAAAGGTTCTTTATGGAACCATTTAGACAAAAAGGTTCTTCTATGGCATTGTGAAGCACCTTTATTTTTAAGAGTGTACTGTAGACTGTTTGCAGTTTTTTTTTTCAAATATAATTGTAGTGCATTTGAATGTCTCATTATAAAGAATTACTTCTACAGCAGTGGAGAAAAATCCTATTTATATTTTAAAGGTTTAATAAACTTCACAACACAGCGAGCATACAAAAATAATCAGTGAAGGGTGAAACCTCCTATTATAAAAGTAAATAAATAGAAAAAAACATAAACTGCTTATATGAATTTGTTGATTAATTGCCTTTTTAAAAAAGATTGCACACTGAGGTGTTTTAGACAAGTCTGTTCTGTACAGCCAATAATATCTTCAGTAGTCTTTCCCTATGCAGTGAAAGTATCAGCCAATACAATACAAAGTCAATACGTTCTCAAGAGATTATCTGTGATTCACGGCTTGCTGTCATGTTGTAATTTCAAGCTGCAATGTAACTGATTTTTAAAAAATATTTTCTTCTCTTGTGAGTTCAATTATATTGTTTCCCTATGCAGTGAAAGTATCAGCCAATACAATACAAAGTCAATACGTTCTCAAGAGATAATCTGTGATTCACGGCTTGCTGTCATGTTGTAATTTCAAGCTGCAATGTAACTGATTTTTTAAAAATATTTTCTTCTCTTGTGAGTTCAATTATATTGCCCCTCATTCACTATGGAAAAATGACACGTCTGCAGTAAAATTAGCAGTTAAAAGGCATTACTCATGGAGAAAGGAGTAAAACTATAAGGAATAAAGGAGGCAACCATAAAAGGATAACAACACTAATCAGCAGTAAGGCATCTGTTAAGGCAGTGAAAATACTCGTATTAGCAGCTAATTAACAATGCATTAATCATGCCCAGACATCCATTATTAACCTCTTGTACTATTACTCAAAACTAGTAATTAATAATACATGCTTTGGTCTAAATGCTGATTTATTAATAGCAAAGAGAGAGAGAGAGAGATCTGAAGTTCAGTGTGGCTTTTTCTATTAAAATTGTTTTACATAACTAAGAGAGAGCCTGTGGGAAATATGGAGTTTATTTTATATTGATTCCGTAAGTGATGGAATGATAATGACCTCAAATTCATGCATTACTAATGTAAGCAGGATATATGATTTGTTTTTGTTATTTCACCCAACAGTTATCACATAAATATCTGAATCTTTGTTTTGTGGACAGAATTCACGAGTTATATGACAGTCAGTCACAGCTCGAGAAAACAAGCATTCACATATTGGACTTAAAATCTAGTTATAACCAGTAACCGATATAAAGCCCCTTGACTTCCTCAGTATATTTGACTCTGTGGCCATAGAAAATAGAATTCCAATCTGATGGATTGTTGTGAAAAGGAGTGAGACTGGTAGGACTGTGTGAGAACAGAGTTGGGCAGCAGAGAGTCACTTCAGGCAAGTCAAGCACCTCATTAAACAGACAGTGAAGGATGAACTTGCTTCTCAGAAGTGGCCGAAGCCGTCAGGCAGAGAGCATGAATGATATTTAAACATCCCATAAAGAGAATCTGTAAAATGCACATAAATTTACTGATGATTGTCAAGCTAAATAAATTTAGAAGACGTACATATTGAGAGATGTTTTCCTTTGTCCATTCTTGCATATTAATTCATTGTTTCGCATCTTGTAACTGTTTCACTACACTCTTAAAAATAAAGGTGCTTCAAGAGGTTCTTCAAGCGATGCCATAGAAGAACCATTTTTGGTTCCACAAAGAACCATTCGGTCAAAAGTTCTTTAAAGAACCATTTCTTTCTTGCGTTTTTGTAATCTGAAGTGTCACTTCAGGCAAGTCAAGCACCTCATTAAACAGACAGTGAAGGATGAACTTGCTTCTCAGAAGTGGCCGAAGCCGTCAGGCAGAGAGCATGAATGATATTTAAACATCCCATAAAGAGAATCTGTAAAATGCACATAAATTTACTGATGATTGTCAAGCTAAATAAATTTAGAAGACGTACATATTGAGAGATGTTTTCCTTTGTCCATTCTTGCATATTAATTCATTGTTTCGCATCTTGTAACTGTTTCACTACACTCTTAAAAATAAAGGTGCTTCAAGAGGTTCTTCAAGCGATGCCATAGAAGAACCATTTTTGGTTCCACAAAGAACCATTCAGTCAAAAGTTCTTTAAAGAACCATTTCTTTCTTGCATTTTTGTAATCTGAAGAACCTTGTTTCGCCACAAAGAACCTTTTGTGAAACAGAAAGGTTCTTCAGATGTTAAAGGTTCTTTATGGAACCATTTAGACAAAAAGGTTCTTCTATGGCATCGTGAAGCACCTTTATTTTTAAGAGTGTAGCCTATTATTTTAAAACCATTAAACTGACTGTATAGTATATTTTAAATACCATCAGATTCCATATTTTGGGAAAGCATGCTGAGACTTGACATTACAGTTTTTCTCGATTGCTAAAACACTAAAACCCATTGGCTGAACAAAGTTCTCAGTTGCCTGAACTCATTTAGCTAATTGTGCAGTCTGTTGTCAATACCTTACACCATTTCACATGGTAAAACACAATTTGCAGATCTCACTTAGACTTTTCAGCAAAACTCTAAACACATTCTCATTCTCAAAACACATTCTGCACTCTAATGCACATGTCATCCATACTGGTAAACACAAGTGGCAACAATCAAATACAAATAGAGAACACATGTCATTGATAGAACACAACCACTCAAAATTGATTTAACCTGTTTCAAATGATGTGACACAACCAATATAAGCTAGTTCAGAGAGCAAACAGGTTGTTGAAGGTGGGAAGGAGAAAGTCTGAGAATGGATAGAAGAAACAATGTGAGAGGAGGAGGACGAGTGCGTATGCGAGGTGGAGGAAGAGGAGGAGGAGGGCAAGAAAGAGGAAGAGGAGGATGAGGGCAAGAAAGAGGAAGAGGAGGAGGAAGTACAAAAAAAATTGCACAGAGCAAAGCAGAGTAGTAATGTCTGATCAATTTTGAGCTACTATGATAGAACATGTTTTCGTTCATCAAAAGACAACGATGGAAAAATATGAAATTTGTTTTGAGATTAAAAATGTACTTCTCCCTGAGAACTATATGTTTTGAACAATGTGTTTTCTATTTTTTGGTGTACTGTTTACTGACTGCTTGATAGTGTATATCATTTTGATCACTTTGTTTATGATTTGAGAGCAGTGTTTGATTTTGAACACAGGTAAAACTGTTTTGAGGCGAAAGTTTCATTTTGCGAGAGGAGTCCGAGGTTTTTTAAATAGTGCTTGAAGATGAGGTTTTGTGTTGAATGTTTTCAGAAAATGGAGCAAGGTTTCAGAAATGGTGTTTTAGCAATCGAGAAAAACTGTATGAAACAGAAATCATTCTAATTTGAAAGAAATGTATTTGTATATAGTTTTCTATTTGTACGTATATTCAAAAAAATATTTTGCATTTATTTATTTACTTACCTAGTTTTGTTTGGTTGGTCACTGAGGGCAAAATACTGCTTTCCTCATCATAATATAATTATTATTTTCAAAACAGAAATGTAATTAAAAAATGTTACATAGAAATGTAGGGTTAAATATATATTGAAACAACATTTGTGTCCACGTGTTATCTGTCAACTTCCCATCATCGGGAAAACTTGCCACCATCCCAGACGTGTACTAAGTTGTGGCTCCATCGTGTGTTCAGTTACATTGTTGTATGGCAGTTTTCCATACTATCGTTTTTGTAAGTTCAATAAAGTAACTGCATGTGAGACGAGATCTTAAAATATTACATATGGCACACGCATCGATTGGTATGCTTGTGTGTTATTTGATAAAAGACCCATTCAAAAAAGTTGAAAAGTTTTACAATTCAATCGTTTGATTTTATTTAAAATGTATTTCTATAAAGGACGCTAATCTGCTTATATAAAGGACGCTAAACATACACAGACGATCCATCTTCTCTTCTAATATTTAGTTGTGGCACCTGAGGTCATGAGTCAGTAGTCACCATGGCAACAAGAAACGCTTCTCTGTTAGCCCCGCCCATCAGCAACACTTGCCAGCTGTTAACTTCTCCTTTCAGTTTGCAGCTTGAAGCTGTCATCACGAATTGCTCCAGTTTTCTTCTTTTAACTTATATATTTTTGTACCTTTTGCAATCAAGAAAAAGGTAAGTGTCTGAAATCTCTTTCCATTAACTGTTAGGTAGGCTACTAGACGTTACATTTGTGTGCAGTGTTATCGGCGTTGTCAACCATTGATCGCAGAAATAACTGTTTACATAGGTTACTTTATAATGTAATATATAATACCGCTGTACTGTTGTTAACAAGGCTACAGATGGGTCAGTGACGACAGTAATCTTTAAAAAATGAGGTTTATATCACGTCTCAAATTAGAAATGTGTGTGTTACTTATTACAACGTTTAAACCATGTGTGGGCGGGGACAATGCCACCTAAAGTAACAAGGTAGATAATTTTCTACCACTACAGGTTTTTCCAAACAAATGGAAGAACAAGCAGAGGGGTACACAACCAATCTTCTTTATTTGACACTTAAATATAGACTAGACAAAATGTATAAATCACACAAAACACAAGTTCGTTAGAAGAATAATATGCAGTGGCCACCGGTAATAATGTATCTTGACAATATCAATATCCCTTGGGAAAATTCAACATTTGGGAGGAAAAAAAAACTAAACTAAACAAAACAAAAAAAAACAATAAATTCAATACAAACAAAACCCTCAAATCCACACTTTCCCACAACTCTGTAAAGCAAAAATACAATTACCCTCACTCAAAATAAAAACCAAAACCACAAACCACACAAGCAAGCAAAACAAATAAACCCTCGACCTGCTGACCCTTCTTTGATCAAACTGCTTCGTATGTCTCAGCTGAGTACTGAGTACCTGCTGCACTGCCAGGACATGCTGAGCGCTCAGCTGTCAGGACTGGAGGAGCGTCTGCAGGCGGCACTCTCTCTAGTCCAGCGAGGAGAAGAACAGCAAACTGAACTTGAAAAAAATGTGCAGGAAGCCAAACAGGAGAATCGACGGAGAAAGAAATTGATCACCACTCAACAGCTCCTCCTGCAGACCAGTGCTAATAATTATCACAAGGTGGTTTTCTTACAAAAGTTGTACTCATAGAGAACTTTTGAAACTCTTTTACACTCACAGTCATACACTACTGTTCAAACATCTGGGGTCTGTATGTTTTTTTTAGTGTTTTTAAAGTCTCTTATGCTCACCAAGGCTGCATTTATTTGATCAAAACTACAGTAAAACAGTCATATTGTGAAAAGTATTACAATTGAAATGTTTTCTACTTTTTACTGTATTTTTAAAATGTATTCAGAATTTATTCCTTGTACCATGTAGAATTGATGCACTACATGTAAATGACATTCTTTGTTGTATTTTCCTGTCAAAATAGTGGAGTTCATTTGGAATTATTCAGCCTTTAAGAACAAGCAGAAGCCACTTCCAAAACCAGAAGTGTCTTTGCACACACTGGCTAGAACGGAAATTCAACAAGGCCACTATTTGCAACTAGCCAATTAACAGTTCAATAAAGTGCATAATTTCAAACAACAAAATGTAAAATTTTCAGCCAACAAAATAGATCATTCTGAAACAGCTGAATTTCATGGTGTCAAAAATTTTATTTCATTGGTCCAAATCCTACTTTGCACAGCTGTGTATTAAACATGAAATATGTTCTGAATCTGATCATCTGTTAGGTTTCCATGTTGACACTGCTTGTCAAACCTAATAATTGTTGGTTCTAAATTTGGTTCTTGGCTCTTAAAATACTTTATAAAAAATAATATATAAATTATATATATATATATAAGCATTATATATATATATATATATATATATATATATATATATATATATATATATATATATATGTGCTTGCATTTTTTTGCTGTTTATTATTATTTTTGCTGAATATATTATTCATGTCCATTGTTTTGTCATTTAGAAAAGTGAATGGAAGAAGAAATTTCAGGAAGCACAGAACAGACACCGACAGGAGAAAGTGGAGGTGAGATACAGATAATTTTAATATTGCTACAGATACAGATATTGGCTCCACTGCACACCCATACTAGTCAGCATGTTGGAATACTCTCATCAAGTCTGTGATTTGTATGTGCGTGTGTGTGTTACAGCTGAAGGGTGAGAATGCCAGGCTTGTGAAGGCCTTGTCTGTGGAGAAGAACTCTGGCTCCAGTCTGCAGAAACTTCAGCAGCAGGTTGTCTCTCTCTCTTCTCAGCTGAGCCAGAAGGACAGACTCATCAAATCTCAGGAGGAGAAGGTTGGATATTTACTTCACAATTGCAAAGAGTGGATGAAAGTCAGCTATAATACCATGCTCTTGTCAGAAAAAGTGCCACTAGAGGCACCAAACAGAATTGCAAAAATAATGTTTATAGATTGCAGAGGTTTCCCCAAACAGTCCTACTAGCCCTTCACCTCACATCCCATCTACTTTGTTCGGATAACCAATTCAGTTACATGCTAAAACGTTTATTGCAAGTCATCCTGTGAAAAGAAGCACCAGTGAGAAGTCAACCTATTGTCTCTACTTATTTGATATTATTTTTAAAGTGTTTTAAAAATGGCACACTTCACCTTTAACTCGTATATAAACTCATAATCTGCTGATGTCTTGATTCTTGAACACTAATCATCTTTCTAATTGATGCTTTATCAGATTAAAAAGCTGTCAGTCATGGCAGTCTCAGGTAATGAATTATAGCTGTCATTTATGGACTTACTCATTGCTTGATTACATAAATAGTGTTGCTTTGAATCAAATTGAATGTGGTTTGACCCATTTTTGTCTTTTATTTGGAAGCTCCAGTGGTTTTGCAAAAAGCCCAAGATTCTCCTGAGGAACCAGAGGAGGAAGATGTAGAGAGTATGTGGTTCAGCAGTTTATAACCTCAGTACATACATACATCAATCATGCCATGATATACATTATTAAAACAAAATTGTGCATGCACCTCCAGGCATGGAGGATTCAGATGAACCCCAGTGGAAGGTCCTAAAGTCACACAAAGGAAAGTCAGAGCTGATGAAAGAGTCTAGACCCATTCTAGAAGAATTACTGGAGAAAAAACTGGAGAATATGGGACTGCGGAAGGTATACCTTGACACACATAGCCATCAATATTAACATTTAAGGGAGTAAAAGTTTAAATTAAACAGTTAGCCTTTTTTTTAGGAAACGTAGCATGATTTAAGTTAAACTGTAGGAATAATAGTCTGATCACTGACATACAAACCATCTACTAATCTAAGTAACACACCTATTGCGACACATCTAACTAATCTGCTTTCAAGTCATTTCCATTTGGTTGCCTCTCTTCTGAATCAGTCATTCTTATATATTTGTTTCAGGGGGAAAGAAAAATTCAACCCCAGTGAAGGAAAAAAGTCTCAGATCCAGGGAGGGCTCAAAGTCGTCCACTTGGAGGACCAAAAGCCAGCAGCCACAAGCACTTGTTCCAACAGCCACCCCACGCTCCAATGCACCTCAGAATCAGACTCCAAAAACACAGCAAAAAAAGAACGGGTATACTTTCTTTTAAAATGGGTTAATGTTCAGACTATTCACAGACATATGAAAATTAAAACATGAAAGAGAAAGTTGAGAGGTCAAGCTGCTTTTAACTGTACTTAATATTACCTCAGGCTTATCAGTATGTGTTTAATGAGAATATTTTTCTCGTCAGCACACCACCTTTCAGTTCAGATGAGGATGAGTCAGTCGAGGACAGTGCCTATATCACCAGCTCACGTGGCAAGCCTTCCCCCTCCGTGCGCCTTGTCCAATCAGGATCACTTCTGAACCCAACAGCTGAGCCTGATTGGACAGACAGTGAACTGTCAGAGGCTTCTGACACACCCAAACTCCACAAAAGTCCCAATTCACATGGTGAGCAAATGCCAAAGTCCTATATGTTTATTTATTTTAATTCCTCCATTTGGAACTAGTCTGAATACTGAATATATTTCATATATATAAATTATATATCTGTTCACAGCTTTCTGTCATCTATATCATTTAGCCAAAACGGAGTGCTGCAGTGAGGACATATTTTTGGAGGCGAACCCAGAAGTTAGCATCACCCTGGTTCCCTATACATAAAACCCAATTAATTATTTTGATTATTGTAGACAATAAGCTTTGTGACCAACAAAAGTGTATGATTCTTACAAGATTTGTTCACCGTGATAATCTTCACAAATGAACATGACTTTTATGAATTTTGAACCCTAAATACAATCGTCAGAAGTAAAAGGCTAAACCGAGACAATAAACAAACTATGCCTGCTTGACTTCAACAACTCTTTTGACAACTCTTTCAGTCTTTATTAAAAAAAAACAAAAAACTATTCTACAATGCTAACTCGTTTCTGGGTTTTGGGCTACAAAAGTACATCATCCCTGCAGCACAGAATAAAAAACAGAATAGACCGATCTTTTTGAAATGCCAGCTATAGAACTTCCAACTTCCTGTGGGATGTAGACATTTTAATTTTAAAAATAGTTTAGTCTTACATTATTAGTCAGTTAACATGAATGTTTTTTGATTGCAGGTTCTGTTGTCCAAACACTGACAAAAAGTTTGGAAAGACAGCTAAGCACACCAGTCAAAAAGCCTGTGGGCGGGACTAGAGTTCTGCCACCATCCAGCTCCTCCCCTCGCCCTGTCATTGTAAAACAGCGAGCGGTAAAAAAAAAACACATTCTCACATATCTCATATATTCTCAAGTAATTCCCATTGCTGTTAAAATCTTGCAGCAGAAATATCATTTGTTTTTGAACATTGTCTTTAGTATTGGACTGAAAAGCTTTGTATTATACCTGTCTTCTAGCTGTCTGATGAGGAGAGTGATTTGGAGCTGTCCTCCATAGAAGAGCTGACGGCCAACCGTGCAAGAGTACACAAAAGTTCAGAGGTTGGCGGGACCTCAGGGACCAGTGCATGGAGCTCTGCGGCCAGTAGACCAGGAGCGTGGTGAATTGTGATGTGACTGTGTCAAATAAATGCATGTATTCACTCCAAACCCAAATTCTCAAGGAATTTACAAGTGCAATTACAAAAGAATCATTATTAAAGGGCTTTTGTACGCTTTAAGAAATAAGTAAACCCAAAAATTGTAGCCTAAAGAAACAACCATTACTTGTTTGTGTGCTGTAGTATAAGCAGTACTCATTTATAATGAGCTGTGAGTTTTTGCTCTGTTTTTTTTTAAGTAATCAGGGGTTTTCAAAAAAAAAGTAAGTTTGGGATATTTAGAATATAATTGATATTTGAAATAATTCTGATTCTGATATTGAAGACTATAAATCTGTCATAAACATATGAGAGAAATTTGGGACAATAAATATACAGTAGTTAAATGTGCTAGAAATGTGAACGGAATTGTGACTTTACACTCTTACAGATTTTTAGTTACAGATTCGTACTTTGTACTTTTATTTTTCTGTGCCTGAACATGGGCAGAGCTTTATCATCTTTTTTCACATTAAACAGTTGTAAATTTAAACTACAATTTATTTTCATGAGTGCAGCATCAGTCCATGCTCATTTCAGCTGATAATAATGCCATCAAGCATTGTTACCAGCTGAAACGATATCAGTGCCATTATCATCATAGCTTTGGCGTGTACTTCCCTATTCTCATAGAAGCTGAACGATTATTAAAACTGTATAGTTAGTAGTAACCTTTACAGATTTCATTTTTTAAAGCAAGGCATGATTATGATTATAAGTATGCTTAAAGCTGTGGTAAATATTCGAACAGTAGCTAATGAGAAAATATTTTAAAATAATGTTTGTCATACTGTAAATAAAAGATTACTGGAGTAAAAAAAAAGTTTTTCTACTTTCAATTTTCACGCTAATTGCCATCTCTGTAATTGCTTGTGACATTTACGAATTCTAAGTCCTACCCCATTTTTGTTTCAGTTTTTTTTTTTTTTCAGTGCATGTGTGAAAATTTAGAACACAGTAGTTTGCAACAAGTAAGATTGCTGTAAGTTCTGACAAAAAAAAAAAAAAAAAAAAAGCGACCATGCAGGCTACCCACAATAGCCTGGCTGCATGTTCTTATCTCTCTCTTTGGGTTTCTTGCCATTCTTATCAGCACACATTCATCTCAGAATGAGATTTAATGTTGAATCACACCCCTCTCCGTTTCTCCCCCGGCAACGCACAACCTGCCTTCCTACCACTCTTTCAGCAGTGGCCTGGCGATTGTTTGTCCTATTTTACACCGTGACCAAGAATGGCTTGCATCCTCATAAAGAGACATAAAGGTTCCTGGCCTTTAAATTCTGTCTGTGCCTCTGAGCTCTGATTGCCTGAGCAGCTGCAATCATTGTGGGCCCTCCATTAGCGAAGTCTCCGAGAATAGAACCTGAGCCGTGCAGTGTTGGCCAAGATGAAAGACTCTCCAGGGAAAATGGTGACAAATAGGGTGCCATTTACAGCCTTTTACCCATGGTTACCTGGCTTACTTCCTCTGTAACCCTTCCTCACTAACCACTAGATTGATGCCTAATTGCTATTACAGCTCAGCTGTCACTAGAGGGTGCAATGTGTACAGAATAAGACGCTTGTTTCGCAGCAGGAAACAAATTTGCAGAGCACTTGATAAGAGTGTTTCTTTTCATTCTCCGAAGCCCCAAGCAGAAACAGTTTGTTTGTACTTCTCAACAGGCCTTAAGGATTTCGCACTGAATGTGGGCCAGTCAAGAAGAGGACAATTAGGATTTTTACCCACATTTCACACTTGAAATAAGTGTTGAAACAGTCAATCCATAGTTCCTCACAATCGTCTATGTCCTCGTTCTTTATCTTCTGTCCATCCCAAAGCTCCATAATGCCAGTGCTGCCGCTTTCAGCTGACAAACAGAGGATTTCAAATCCTCCAAGATGAACGCCCGGGGGCCCCTGGCTTCAATGTGAAGCATCCACTAATACGCAACACCAAGCAGACGATACAACATCCAGTATGGCTCTCGCGGAAAGACCGGGAAACGGCGAATTAAAGTGACATTGAAATAGTTTTTCTGTTCTAAGACAGAGGAAACACAGATGCTAGAAACTGGCGTGGTCCCATCGATGCTGGAAAGGCAGGCTTGAGTTCTTCGAAAAGGCTTCGGGATGCTGTATGAAAATAGAGACCTTTTCTCTATTACTGATTGCCGGACTCAATGTGTTGACCCCCGGGTCAGAGCCTCGCGGATAGTGAGGTCACAGGGTGAATTTATTTAAAATGCGTGGCTTTTCATTCTTACCAGGAAACATAAACTCACTCTAGAGATCAGCAACACCATCCTACATTGTATGGTCAAAATAACTTGCAAGCACAGTCATGAGTACAGTCTGAAGCTGCTTTCCATCACGCAGGAATGAAGAATGACTTGAGAAGTTAGTTGAGGGTGGAGATTCCTCCAGGAAGGCCAAGGTCACGTGCAATTGAAGGATGGGCACAAACTTTGCAGATTCCAGAGCAATTAACCAATCAGGTCTGGCAATATGGTGTGACAAAGTGAGCACATCATGGGCCACTGCGACTCACATCCGTTATGCATTGAGACTGGCCAGATCTAAATTAGAGAGCCAATTAACTCTGCTAATAGCCCTCTCCAATTTAATCTGGGAGACAATGGGGGATTGAAGACGATGCCTTATTAAAGACGGGAGCTCACACAATATGCTCTTTCTGCTACGATTCGGAGGGCCTCCACTCACTGCCTTGTTTTTACTTCAATTAGCCCACCGCCTCCCATGATTAAGTGCCTATAATTATTTTTCAATTAAGGCTTTGATCTGCAGTGTACTGTATACAGCTTCTTGGCACGACAGAAAGAATGAGGATGAGACAGTGAATTTGTTCCCTTTCTGCTTGGCGTTGATGGGGGTGCGGGAGAGATTATGTTTGCAGCGAGGACCCTCTGGGACGGACACTTCCTCTGCGCAAAAGCTGATGAAAGTGCAGCTCGGATTTAGTATGGGCTTTAAAGTTGGAGTTTCCTGAAATTTCCAGGTTTGAGTTTGTTCGGGAATATGAATCATGCTAATAAGATGTAGCTCGGTGGTCGTATAGCGCACATGCCTTGCAAATTGCAGGTCCTGGTTCAGTCCCTGGCATCTCCATGACAATACTCACGACTTCCTGTAAATTGGACTATCCCGATTAGCAACTAATCCTGAATACACAGCACTTGCAAACTGCAGCAGTGAAGGTGATGTAACTGACTGGAAAGGTTGATGCTTTGAACTGTAAATCGCTTTGGATAAAATGTGTTCAATTTTAAATGACAAGTGACCAATAAATGTGTGCAGATTTTTAGCCAAGGAAAAATAGTCTCTGAAAATGTAAAGATACAAAAGGCTTAAGGAAAATCTTTTTTATATGGTTTCTATGTTAATTGCATAAATGGATATGTTACACATAGTGCAACGATCATGAAACAGTCAATCTCAACAAGAGACTCACATGTTGACACATAACATGTCCATGGACATTTTTTTTCAACAATAAATCACCATCAATATTTTAGACTTTTTAGATATTTTTGGTCAAGATTGCATCTTGTATATTAATGCATAAGGGAAAGTGATCTTTTCAAGTTTTCCATATTTTTAATCAGGATCTGCCTTAGTTGATTTTAAATGGCCGTCTGGTGTAAAAAAAAAAAAGTACAAATGCCATTTAGTCTCCCAAAAACTTAAGCAAGTATCATAATTAAGCAAGTGTATAATTTACAGTAATGCTATAAAAGCACCAAGCACAAAAGTGTAAAATAATTAGTTAAATATTTAGATTATTATTTTACATGAGTTCAAGTCGACTGCTACATTAAAGGAACAAAAATAGCTAAAAATTAAAGCTCTTATGGTTATTTAGTGTATGTTATGATATATTTTATATTGCAAGTTGGTTTCTAATGCCTGATGAAATCTATAAGCAATTATATATTGTTTTCAAATACGCATATATATATATATATATATATATAAAATATAAACACTCTTTCCTTCTTTCCTCGTCACACACACAAAAAAAGATATAACTCCCATACCACAATAAAATAAAAAACACTTTCACACACTTCTGTGATTTAATCTTAGCTCTTTATCAAGTTGTTTTTTTACTGCCTGCCTCAACGGTTTTCTAATGAATGCTCTTCAAGGTTCTACAAATGGCTGTGTGTTTCACTAGTGTGCGAGATTTACAGGGTGCCACTGAAAGGGGACCTTAACTTTGTGGGGCCACACAAGACAAAAAAGTTAAGTGTGTGTCCTCTACACCTCCACACTAAATCAGCCTTCCTCTGCTGCATTACCTGTGCTGGAAGTTATCAAAGAGAGGAGGCTATGCCAAGCTGGATGACAGGCCGGGCTAATTATCAGTATAGCTGCAGGGATTAGAAGTGATCAGTGAGGAGGGACGGCATTCATGGGGCGGTGTGGTAGTGACAGCTTCCTTTGTGTGAGAAGCTTTAACTACTAGGCCTCACCACACCCTCCAGGCCCATTCTGACATCATGGTGCAGAGTCATGAAGACGAGCAGAAAGGAAATTCTGGCCATTGACGGGGGACGGTTTCAACATCTGTGAGTGAGTGAACAGCTATATATTGAAGTTAGAGAGACAGAGAAGTGGTGACACAAAGGTTGGGGTTTAGCAGTAGTTATATGGTTACAGATATGGGAGTTCAGACCTCAGGTAACAGTGAAGAAAAGAAAAGGACTGATTAAAAAAAAAGAAACATTCAAAGCTTCTGGTTTTAACACAAAGCCAGAAACAGGGTGTGTCAGCATTCCAATACCTGCCTTCATTCAGAAAATAATTACTGCCGCCTGCAGAGGAGAACAGGTTTCTGGTTCACACTGAGGTTGATGGTGGTTGATATTTGTAAGGCCCAACAACCCGAATCCTCTTGTCAGTGTGCTATTGAGAACTTTGTGTCTTTAAAGAACTGAATCTTTCCTCAAGGCATGGCAAAGAAACCATGAGCGGGTTTTTCAGCTAGAGATTTAGTCAAATCCAAACAATTAGACAAAGGCCATCTTTTAGGAACTATGTAATATTTTAATAAAAAGGTATACAAAATGCTGATTTTCTATCAAGTTCTATCAAGAGAAGCTATTATATATAATGATAGAATAATAATAATAATTATTATTATTATCATTAATATAATCATAATAATAAAGCTTCTGGTAAATAGAATACTATTATAT